GCAAAGGGGCGAATGTGACACGCCGCTTATTAAACTCATCGCCTCCTACCTATTCATGTACTCCTACACCACGGACATCAGTTATCTAATACAAGCTTTCCATTCACTCCTACGCACGTTAGCGATCCGCTCAAGATAGGCTCCAATAGGCCATTACATTTACAAATCAGGCAATACAGATATACTATTACAAATTAGCAGACTTTTATGTACACTATCGCATTGTTCCCACTAACGTTGATACTATCCTACCGTCAGTTACAATCATTAACCCTTAAAATTTGGATAACCACGGTCATGCTAATATAGCCATGTCATACATGGTTGAGAACCAATTGTTTATTTACGTAGTTGTACTTCAGCCGGTAAAGTTTAAGGGTCGTTGAGTGTTAATTAGGCACACATAAAGTAAACCCATTAAAATGTTTATAAAGCAACGAAAAGAAGCTGCAAGTAAAACAAAAGGGGGGCTATAGGCCACGGCAAAATGTGAAGCGCAAGAACTATAGCAAAAGTTTACTGTAGTCGGGCAGCTTTGTACCGTAAATTTGTGTCCGGTTGAATCTAGTTCCTCTCGAATACTCTAGCACAATAGGTTTCTCTAATACGTGGGTAATTCTTTGGGTTTTAAGTATTCTTGCACACTCTTAAAATAACGCTTGTGCTCGAAAGTTTGAGTGGACAAACCAAACTGTCTCGTATCGCAAACTATCCAGCCGAAAGCTAGAAATAACACGTTGTATGTACTCTGTGGAAGTTTAATATTAATGATTGTTTTGTGATTAAGTGAACCGGGATATTTTCTCCTACGTAAATCGTAGCCTCAACCTAAAAAGGGCGAAAAATCTAAATGATGCCATGGATGTTAGTTAGGTTTGTGCAAATCTAAATTAGGCAAAGTTTGTCAGTTGCTTAAATAGGGGTAGAACTTAAAATGTTTCGTAATTAGTTTCTGGTTATAACAAACTTTCGTAGGTCGAATCGTCCAATTAGGCTCGAGGTATTGAAGCGCTAATGATAAGCACGAAGGACAACAAATGATGCAGCACTGCTAGCTGCCATCAAAATTATAAAAAAAAGCATTTTTGACGAGGAATCACATTAAAGTTATAGTATGTATAGTTGCCTTTAGAGCAGACATTACTAGAATATGATAAAATGGCATCAGGTTAAAATTGTAGAATTCTCGGCGTTTGATCTGTTGCTTAACCTATACAATGTTTTCCTTAACTTCTAACAGTACCAGTATGATTCTTCTGTTGCCAGACCGAACGCAAGTAAAGATTTGGATCAAAATTTAAACCCCGTGGACTTGAGAGAAGCGTGTTTGGATATTGAAAAGTTAGAAATAAACCATTGATTTGGTAGCCAAACCAAGGATTGAACTCTCTGGATTGTAAGACAACATTCACATCGGAAACAATCTAATAGGTGTAAGAAATCCAGTAGGACAAATTGCAGAC